GTTCTCGGTACGCCGATCCCTGCGGCAAATCTTTCAGCTTCGACGCGATGGTCCGCACCTAAAAGAAAGTAAAATAATTTTCCACAGCAAAGATACGTTGTCTGCCAAGCGGTTGTAGAGGGCGTAGTGCTCGCGCTTCGTCACGTGGTACTTGCGCATCATGTCGGCTTGCCGATTCTTCTGATCAACCTAAACAAATCAAGGTTGTGCCAGGAAAGTATCCACTTACCTCCCATGTGATAAAGTCAGTCTTCTTGAGGAGCTTCTGCTCGTGGAACTTCAGTTTCCGGACCATGTTGGCCTGAAAAGATGGCTTGAAAAACGACGAGTCAAACTCGGCGGGAAGAGAGAACGATATATTAATACTTCCAAAGAAAGTGAGCGACATGGTATAAGTGAAATTAGTTTTCGGCTTGGTAAAAATTAAAATAATTTAGCAAGTTTTCAACCGCGTGTAGCTTGTAGCCGGCATGGGCGCCTAACCCACGCCCCAAAGCCAAACGCTCTTTGCTCGAGGGGTGGCAAAGGGCCGGGCCGTGTCTTGCCCAAAGCGTTCGAGGGAGAGAGACGGGAAAAAAGATTGATGGGGGATGTAAAAAAGAAGGAAAGACGAGGCCGGTGCCCAATGGGCATAAGGCTAGACGGCCAAATCGAGTTCCGCGGCAGACTTGTCGAGAAACGCCACGCTTCGTGGGCACCCGGAAAGAACGTGATAAAAATGGCGGCCTGCCGCTCCCTGATGCGTTTTTGAAGAACCAGCCGATTACAGACGCTTCGCGACTGTAATCGACTGGCCTTCAGGCTACCCTCCATATTCTACACCACCACATCCCTCGCCACTTTCATGAATACATATGCTGGTGTTTTCAGAAACCCCCCATAGCCGAGATCCCCTTCAAAAACTACCTAAATACCTTCCTGATGGCTTTAGATACCTCCCCTAGGCGAAATCCCCTTAAAAACAAAAATAACGACCGACCGGATACTTGGGAGGAAAAATAAATGAAACCAGCGCTGACCCCCCGCTCCGCGGGGGTTCAGCGCCTAAGCCCCCCGGGGGGGAAAGGGAAAAACATTTTAAAATAGTAATAAATCAACATCCCATACACCGAAATCCCGAAATCCCGAAACGCCCCGCCCCCCGGACCCGTCCGAACCGGTCCTGGGGGTCCCGCAGCGATCCGGTCGGACGGGCGGGCGGGCGGGCGGACGGGCGCACGGACATTAGAAATTTATATATACTCTGAATGGGTCCCGTGAAAATTTTCATCCACGAAACGCGCGCGACCTGGCTCACGATGTCCAAAATCACCCCAACCTCCGTCCCCCACCCTTTTATTAAGGAAAAAACTTTCACAGCTAATTTTGATAGTTTAAATTAAAATTTTTCATAATTTTTTTATCAGTTTGGGGGTTTCTGACCACGCTCTATCCGAATCCGAAGAGAGCTAAGCTCTAGCTCCTTTCCCCTTCGAGTTGAATTCGGGACCGGACAGACGGACGGACAGACACCACAACTTTTTTATTATAGTTGATTGATTTCGTCTGCCGCTTCCCCAAATACCTATCCTTTTTTGAAGGTTGTACTCTAGGCGTGTTAGTGCATTTCCCCCGACTAGCCGCAGACATAAAGCCGAAATCCATTTCCTGACTTGTTTTGCCACTAAATCGCGACGAGCGTCGGAACCCAGGATTCGTCTAATTGGTGAGATAGATTTAGCCCGATAAAACCCAACTCGTACCCCAGCCCGCAGCGCCGGTCGCTTATCAAATCTAGCATTGCGATTTTGTTTGTCACAATTCGCGGTCAACAACTAGGGTAGGCCGGTCATTGAGGGGTCTATTTATCTACAGAAATAGATGTTTTTCGCCTTTCCAAAAATTAATGGGGGTTTCGTTTCTCGGAGAAAGTCTGGCCGCCTAAGTGGTTTCCGGCTTAACTAGGCTGTCGCACGAAACATAGATCACAAAATCAAAATTCGCAGGTGTCGTGAAGAAACGAGATCAAATCATGCTTTTCTTAGCACTGAAATAACGTTAATGAGCGCGAAATAGTAGAGGGAAAAGGTTTGCAATTTTCGAATCTTGTTAGATACTACAGCTTTTAAAACTATTTTAGACCATTTCGAAAACAAAAACACCAAAAACAAACTTTTCTTAGAATTTTTGGCGGCTTGGGTTTCATCATTCGCTTGCTTGCTAAAAAGCGCGCTTTGCACATAGGCGCCGCTCGTACTACCGTAATTTCATCACTCTCCCGGCAGTTCTGGATCTTCCGGATTTTTGCATCATCGCTCGCGGAAATTTTGCGTTTCGTCATGCGCGGCGCATACATTTCGCTATCTAAGCATTTTGCCAATTGTTTTCTTCTATTCACATAAATTTGTTTTGCAAAACCTGACCGGCACCGTGGCTTGTTTATCACCCGATTTTCTTTTTCTCGGGGGTTCAGTCCAGGGGCGCCGCCACATCGATCTGACGCCGACCGGGGCAGCTCGATTTTTTTAGGCCCGCTGTCCCGCCCCTCTCACTATTTTTCGTGAGGGAGCGCTGCTCGGGGGGCCCCGCCTCGAGTACCCTTTCCCCTTCGTCTTGCCATTTCGGCACAAACAAGTGCTCTGGGGGGCCGGATATCACCGTCGCAAGTTTCGATCCAAAATTATATGCGCTTTTTATGACCACTTCCGAGCCAATTGGGATCCCATTTGTGGTGTCTTTTCCATACTCACCCCAACTCTCTCTTATGTATTCACTTGCTCCTGCTGTTTTGCAATGCGCGCCTAATTTCGGTTCTTTTTCAGGTAAGATGACGAAGCCGCGTGTTGGTATCAACGGATTTGGTCGCATCGGACGATTGGTGCTGCGCGCCGCCGTCGAGAAGGACACGGTCGAGGTCGTCTCTGTCAACGACCCCTTCATCGATATTGGTTACATGGTATTTTTCTGGCCGCTGATTTCTATATTTGTTTAGGTCTACATGTTCACCTATGACTCGACGCACGGTCGCTTCAAAGGCGAAGTCAAGGCTGATGGCAACACCCTCATCGTCTCCAACGGCAAAACCACTCACAAGATTGCCGTCCATAACAGGTATCGCCTTATGTCGGGCCGGGGATTTTGGCTCCACTAACAAATTACCGTTATTTTGGCACATGCGGCTAGCGACCCAATAGAATTTTTGTTTAACTCGCCGCTTGCTTCGGCTTTGTCATGTTCGCACGCAACTGGGCTATTACAATTGGCCCCCTTGTGAAGAGGTCACCAAAAAAGAAGGGTTGCATTCTTACTTGTGGATTCATAGCCGCATTGCACATTTCAGCGCGGGGTTTTCGGCCCGGCTACATCCTATAGGCCTTCTAATAGTTGTTTTGCCGTTGTGATCCAGCGTAATATAACATGCTTTCAGCCGCGACCCGGCCGAGATTCCATGGGGTCAGGATGGAGCCGACTTCATCGTCGAGTCGACCGGAGTTTTCACCACCATCGAGAAGGCATCTGCTCACCTGAAAGGAGGCGCCAAGAAGGTATAATTTTCCACCAATTTCATCATGGTTTTCCATCTAGGTCATCATCTCTGCCCCCTCCGCCGATGCTCCGATGTTCGTCATGGGTGTCAACGAGTCGCTCTACAACAAGGAGAACGACCATATCATCTCCAACGCCTCGTGCACCACCAATTGTCTGGCCCCGCTCGCCAAGGTTGTTCACGACAACTTCGGAATCCTCGAAGGTAATTTCGGGTCTCGTGGGGTAATGCTGATCATCTTAACTCTCGATCAGCTGATCAGTGATCAGTGATTGGGAGCTCTGTCGGCAGCGCACCCTGTCTCTCCTTGTCGGCTAGAGCGGGCTCAATCGGCTCTTCCTCCCAGCGTTGATAGCGCCGCTGGCAGAGCTCCTTCAAATACATTGGACCAATCACTGTTTTCCTAATCTGTTTTTTTCAGGCCTTATGACCACCGTGCACGCTGTAACGGCCACGCAAAAGACTGTCGACGGGCCATCTGGCAAGCTGTGGCGCGATGGACGCGGAGCCGGCCAGAACATTATCCCAGCCTCCACCGGAGCCGCCAAGGCCGTTGGAAAGGTATCGTCTGTGGTGTTACAGTTTACGTTGGTTATTTTCAGGTCATCCCCGCTCTCAACGGCAAGCTGACTGGCATGGCCTTCCGCGTGCCCACCCCTGACGTTTCCGTCGTTGATCTCACCTGCCGCCTGGAGAAGCCGGCTGATCTCGATGCCATCAAGAAGGTCGTCAAGGAGGCAGCCGAAGGCCCGCTGAAGGGATACCTGGGCTACACCGAGGATCAGGTACCGGTTTCCTTCTGCACAAATCATTTTTCTTCTAGGTTGTGTCCACCGACTTTGTCGGCGACACTCGCTCGTCCATCTTTGATGCCGGAGCGTGCATCAGCCTCAACCCACACTTCGTCAAGCTCGTCGCGTGGTACGACAACGAGTATGGCTACTCCAACCGCGTCGTCGACCTCATCTCTCACATTGCCAAGGCTTAAATTTGTCTACTGTGTCCCATACTGTTTTTTCTTAGCTTGTGATTTTGTGCATAGTTCGCAGTGAATTCAATGAAGTATTGCTGTTTTTCGGCACCCTTTATTTAATACAGACAAAAGACCAAGAGCGGGGCATACAAATGGTGTGCGAGGGAGCGAATGGAGGGGCATGGTAGGAGTGAGAGAGCGTTTATGGGAAGGCGTAGCAGGAGGAAAAATAACTTTCTGTTTTAGCGGTCAGATTGAAGAGGACGACGCCTAATAACATAGCACGACCAATTTAGCTTGTTTACGGCTTTTTCAAACGTCACATTTTTTGACTTAGGTGCAAAACCGGCGACATCATAAAGGCTTTTGTTACTTTAGTGGCCGGAGACTGCTAAAATACTGGAAACCGTCGATGGTTTACCAAAACTGAAAATTGGACAGACATCTAGTTAGTTTTCCTCCTGCTAAGGGAGATCCGGGGAGGGGGGGGTGTGCGGCTCACACCGTGGCCGCTGCGGACGGGGTGACAGGGGTTTCGGCGGCCGGGGCGGACTCGGGCGTGGCAGCCGGGGCGGACTCGGGCGTGGCAGCCGGGGCGGACTCTGGCGTGGCAGCCGGGGCGGACGCTGGCGTGCTGGCCTTGGGCGCCCACTGGGCGAGTGCGTCCTGCATAGCGGCCGCTGCATCGCTGTCTTCGACGTCGGCTCTCTCGGCACCGGCCTTCGTCGACAAGGGCCATAGCATGAAGCGGCTGACACGGCGGATCGGCTTGTTGTAGGCCGTCATGCGCTCCTCGTGATCGTCGTCCTGCAATTCAGGTTGCAGGCGCGAGCGTTAGCGCAGCGCGCGGTACACGTCGTATTTGTGGCCTCTATCGAATGGGATTTTGAAAATATCGAAAATATACAAAACGCCGGATTTTTACAGGGTGTCCAAAAAAATTGTTCCGGACTTTGGGCTCGAATAACTTTTGATAGAAGAATATTTCACCATACGTTACCATGCCAGAATGCTTAAAAGTGTCTGGAACTCCGATTTAGATCAACTTGATTTTTTCGATTTTTGGCGACGTATCAATACAAATGACACCCGAAAACTGTGCGTTCGGAGAAGTTTGATTTGTATTTTTCTCAGCGGCCTGTGGCGGGCGGTTTCTAATTTTTGCTGTGCAAATTCTTGTAGGCATTAGATATTTACATGCAAAATTTAAGATTTTTCTAAGGTCTGATTGAAAAGTTATAGCGGACTGAAGTTTAGTATGGAGAAATTTCGTAAATTTCGAGTATTAAAAAAACCTATGGCGAAAATCCCAAACTAAGTCGTTGTGGATTGCCGACAGACTCTATACTATCACATAAACATATTAAAGAATTTTTTGAAATCGGTGATTTTTCGAGTTTTTCAACGACCCCCTGGTCATGGATCCTTTCGAGGTCACGAAACTGAACTTTGGAAAAATATTCCTAACGTTCCGAATAGAACCTAGACGTTTTCTTTGCTTGGTTATGTAGGACTGGCGTCCATCTAACATGTAGACAATTTCTAGCTACCGTACCCCTTTGGAAGGATGCCCTTTAGCGCCTCCAAAACGGTTGGTTCGGGCTATTTCGCAGACCTTCGTTCCTGTCTATAAAATTCAGTTGCGCGGCTAGAATTATTTTCATAATTTTATTTAATACTACTTAATGGGCGCGTTCTAAAATTATATTTACAAATTTATTGGGCCATCCAATCTCTCAAAAGAAATTCACGAAGAGCCCAAATATACCCGAATTCGAGGCGACGTAAAAAAATTCTCGAAGCTCTAGTAGCCCCGACTTTTCTGGCATAGCCCAAGCTTGGATAGTCAACTAGAACCCATGCAAATACAAAACCTTTTCATGGCAAACGAATTTAGAAGAGCGCCCCAAAGTCGGCTTTTCAAAAACGTTATTTTCGGGTTTTAAATCAAAATTAACCATTAACTTCAGCCAGATCATTTCAGAATTATGCACTCATACACAGTTCTATGCGTGCTTTAATTTTATCCATGAAACTCCGGTGATTTTTTTCATTTTCAAAAATTCGATTTTCGACCCCGGACCTCAGTTCCAGAATGGGGCCCCGAGGATGGTTTTCCTCTTTCCCTTATAACTTTGTTATTTACCACAGAAAGTAAGTAATTTTTCGCCTGCTTCCTTATAATTACTCAGAGAACATTCTAGAATAGAAAAATCGACATTTTATGGCATTTTGTCCTGGCATGCTAAAACGTGCTCCAGGCGGGTTACGGTAGAAAACAGAAAATCGTCGTTTTCTCGTTCTTTTCACCATAGAAACGTTTCGATCTTTTGGGAAAACAATTAATAGTAGTTTTCGACCCATGCTTCAAAATATTTAGACAATTCCGTGGCTAAATGCAAAAATAAGTTTTTTGCATATTTTAAGAAAGTGTATGGCTAGAACTTCGCGATATTTAGCCCATAGGTGAATCTGATTGGTGTTTACCAATGGTAAAATTTTGAGCGAAATCGCAGCTTACAATAAAAAGAAAAACGCGGAAAACGAAAACTACAGTATCCCTCTGGGGCACGTTTTAGCAAGCAATATTAAAATACCATAGAATCAGGTAAAATTTGGTGTTGGGCTAAGGATTATCATTCGGAGACACCATTTGCAAAAGATCAGCCATGGGCAGCGAATTTGAAGCGAGTTGCGAATTAAAAGGCAAAAAGCTGCAAAATAGTGAAATTTGTTTTGCATGTAAAAGAAGAACTAGAGCTTCAAAAATTTCAAGATTCGGGGATTAACTTTCTATAAATTTCAGCTATTTTTAGGCCAAAATTCAGAATTTTCCCACCACCCGTTCAAGAACGCACAATTTTCGGTCCTAACCAGCGTCAATAGTACAGTTGTGTACTCAAAAATCGAAAAAATCAAGTTGATCTAAATCGGAGTTCCAGACACTTTTAAGCATTCTGGCATGGTAACGCATGGTGAAATATTCTTCTATCAAAAGTTATTCGAGCCCAAAGTCCGGAACAATTTTTTTGGACACCCTGTAGAGAACGTTATAGTAATTACGAAACCGACAAGGGGATCGGCCCATCCATTGCTCCAGCCGATCTCGCGATCGAGCGCCGTTCCCCATTTGAAGGTGCCGGCCGTACGGCGATCGTCAGCCTCAGCCTTCCTAGAAAGGTTCAATTATGTGGTGCTGCCGGCATGTTTAAACTGGATTATTTCTGTGATGTGTACCGCAAAAACCTGCCTGGCGACCAGTACCGCTTCCCAGAAGCGGACCGCCATGATGATGAAAATGATGCCGCCTGCAATAGGGAGTGGCCGTACCTTAACACGGGGCGAAGCTTTTTCTTATCCCCGTGCTATGCCCCCGTCGGAATCGTCGAATCGCTTTTTCTGGCGTAGTCTGTTTCGAAAGCGCAGTTTTCGAATTCGTTTACTACAAACCTAGCTCGTGGCAAATTTCGACGCTCTATTGAATGGCACTAAAGAAATTTTCAAAAATGTCGAAAAAGTCGAAAACTTCCTATCATTCTTGGTCCTCTATGGAAACCAAGTTTAATACTTGTTTTTTCGATAACAAGGATGAACGATAACAGAATGTTACCTTATTTGGAACTAAAATTAAAACTGTTGGTATATTTTTCGATGCTCTATTGAATGACGTCTTTAAGATGTCGAAAAAGACATGTCTGTCACTATATATAAAAATTTGTAGCCAAGCCGCCTACCAACGACAACAGCCGTCAATACGGTGACGCGGATGTAGAGCGGAGGGCCATCAGCGCCCTTGGAAGCATCCGCGGTCGGTGCCCGGAGGATCGTTTTCTCGAACTTTGCGAGATCGACCTCCACGATGTCGAGGCAGAAATTCTGGAAAAGTGACGTTGGGCAATGCTGCTAGGTAGCTTTTTGCCTGGGCATTTTTCTAGGCTACGGTTTACTTTACCCCCCCAGCCGGAAGTTTTTGGTTATAACTTTTTTATTTTACATTATTGTAGGCTCAAATTAAAACTCTTAGTATATTTTTCGACGCTCTATCGAATGGCGTTGCAAAAATCCCGACAAAATAAGCGAAAATACCGAAAACTTTGAGACCCTTCGGCTGTGGGGGGGTAAAGTAAACTCTTACCTTTTTCTATTTTCATTTTTTCAAACCATTTTGTTTTTGTTGAAATGCGCAATTTTATAATCCATTTTGGAAGGCGTGCCGTACCCAGTCGACATCGTCGGCCTTCCCGCACTTCTCCACCTTGACGGCAAGTTTTTCCTTGTCTCCAGCCTGTGCATTTTTGTAGAAGGGATTCGTGGTGCAGTCGAGGAAGATGTTGCGCTCGAATCGATACAGTTGGTGCTCCTGAAAAACGGCAATTCAAAGATTCAAAAATGTGAGGTTTGAAAATTGCGTTTCGAAAATGTGTGTAACACAAAAATATGCTGTTTTCGGCATTAAAATAAAGGGCTTGTTGAAATTAGGGTTAAGGAACGCCTCAGCAGCTCACTGACCAGCAGCTTGTCCTTGTCGACGATCAGGCATTTCGGGTACCAGAAAGTCTTCTCCTCCTCATCGCCGGTAGTAGGCGGTGCGCGCCAGAGCATGTTGATAGTGTCTTCGGTGCTCAGCAACTTGGCGTACGGTGGCGACTGAAAGAAGCGCAAAAATCTTCTTTTTTTGCTTATATAAGAACAAACAAAAGCGACAGCGCGGCTACTTTTACCTACGCACCTTGAGACGGCCTGCCGTGTAGATTTTCGCGTCGACCTGCAGCTCGAGCGGCACGCAGTTGTCGTCGGCGTAACGGTGGCTTTTGTAATCGCAGGGAGACGCGAACATCGTCGGCTCGGGCAACAAGAACTTGGCACGTGCCTCCGGCGTTGAGGCTTGGACGTAGTACCTAATAAAACAATAACGATGGGGTTTTTTTAGTAAGTCTCACTTGGAGCCGCGGAGGGGACGTGGCAAGCAATTCTCCGGCTGCGACCCAGTAGTAACGGGACACCACTGGAAAGTGGTTTATAGATAGAAAATGGCACGGGAATGCCAGTTTACCAACGTTCATTAATTAGAAAAACAGATGGTCCGTTTGAATTTACTTTCCCTAAAAGTTCAAGCTTGACAAACTGTCGGGTGCTTCCTGGTTATCGGGGGTCGGTTATTTTAGCGGGGGTCGGTTGCGAACTTTTTTCTATAATATCGTGCGGCTCGGCTAATTAAAAACTGGCCGTTTTTATAGACTTGTGCGCCGTTTGAAATGGTTCTGGACTGTTAGCGGGGGAGGAGACATTAAGAAAAACGTCATAAAACATGTTGAAAAAAAAAATTTCTTTTTCGGTCTAACGTATATGAAAATGGCTAAAACCGCGCTATAACCCTAGATTTCGTGACTATAGGATAAATATTTTTATAATTTTTGATTATCGGAAGCTACTAAAAACAGTATTAAAATAAACTACAAGTTATCACTAGGAAGCAGGGATGGCCATTTCGGGACCCGGGTCAGACCCGGACCCTGACCCGGACCGGACCCGACCCGGACCCCCCATTTCGGGGGTCCGGGTCGGGTCCGGGTCCGGGTCCGGGTCTTTTGAAAATGACCCGGACCCCCGAGCGATTCTTCGGAAGTAAATGCAAAACGTAAATTATTTAAATACTACATTGAAGTTTGGAGATATCTATAAGTTTTGCTGAAGATCAATACTTCATATTCAGTTATTAACACTGTAATACGTTCTACCATTCAGTTTTCGATAGTAAATTGGTCGGTCTAGACACCATTCAACCCACGAGATCATTTAACCATCGTAAAGGGAGTACTTTTCAAGTATCGCATAGAAAAATTTGCATTTCGAGCCAGTCTTGTATTTCCGGTGCAGAATAAACTGGGGGGTCCGGCTCACTCTCAAAAGATCCGGACCGGGACCCCGACCCGGACCCGGACCCCCATTCCGGGGGTCCGGGTCCGGGTCAAGACCCCGGGTCAAAATTGGGGTCCGGGTCCGGGGTCCGGGTCCTTTCGTGACCAACCCTGCTAGGAAGGTATAGGCTAAACGAAAAGAAGATGCCAACCGACCCCCGATAACCAGGAAGCACCAACTGTCGTAAAAAAATGTTCAAAAGATATCGCTTGTTTTCGCCCGCAAATGGCTGATTTTTCGCCAAATTTTATAGAATTTTTATAAAGCTTTCACCACAATTTTTGATTTTGCCTCTTTACGCCCTCCAAAAAAGGCTTTTCAACTTCAAAATGTGCAGCTGAACCTCGTAGCTGTTCCACTGGCCGGCGGCGGTGAGCGCCGTTGGATAGACGTCTTCCTTGACGAACATCTTGGCATCGTCCTTGCCGAGCCCGGCGAATTGGTGGAGGCTCGGGATGCACGGGATGTGGCCCTCGCTGCGGACGACGGTGCCCAACACCCTGCAACGAGCGCAGTCAGCCAGAAAATTTGGTTTCTACGAAATGGCAATTTGCATGATGACCCTGCAGTTCATTTTTTTATTTTCTAAGCATAAAAACTATACAAATTTTAATTAAGAATGAATTTTAGGTCTAAAGCGATTAAATTTTCGACGGGTCGAACATTTTCCCTTTTTTTAAGCGTTTTTCGGGGTTAAATATTGTTCAAACTTACTAAAAACAATGTAAAAACACCTTATATTTGATGACTAGGCCAACTGGTACCGCTAGGAAAAACTTTAAAAAGGGTTCCGGAAAATTTGTATTACTCGGGGATGGTTAAGCCGGCGTCGCATTGCACCACGTAACCGGTGCCGAGCTTCCACGGCTCGATTTGGATGGCGGACACCCTGAAAATGGAGTTGTCCGGCGTTGTAAAAATGTAAACTGACGGTCTTTTGTCGGCACATTGCCCGCTGGCCACCATCGCCCGGGTGCAGAGGTTTTGCGGGAAGATGACCCAATGATCTGTAAACGGTATTCAGGGTGTCCCAATAAAAAAAACACCCTCTAAGCCGAGGCAAAAGTCTCGTATCGGGAAAGATAGTTATACCATTCGAAAGCTGGTTCGAGCGGGTGAAAAACTGTGGGGGGGGGGGAAGCGGCGGCTAAGCCATTTCTTTTTGCTATAGCTATTTTATAATACGTTCTTCTAAGTTGTAATTAAAACTCTTCGTATGTTTTTTGACGGTCCTTCGACTGATGTACAAGAAATTTTTCATCAATATCGAAACTTTCGAAAACTAGGTTGTCATCTGCGTTTCCGTGTGGGAACCGCTTTTCGCTTTTGTTTTTGCTATCACTATTTTATATTACGCTGTTTTGAGACGAAATTTATACTCTTCGTATGGTTTTTGTTGCCCTATCGAATACTATCTTCAAAATATCGCAAAAACTAGCGACAATATCGAAAACTAGCATGCCTCCAAACACAAAAGTGATTTTTCTGCTTGCGCAAACTTTCTTATATTACAATCTTTTGAGACAAAACAAGAAACCGCGGTATATTTATTGATGCTCTGTCGAATGGCATTGCAAAAATCCCGAAAAACAACGAATGAAAGTTCTGCCCAGGCAAATCTCCCCGCACAGGTTTTCCCCGCTCGAAATAGCACAGAACCGGCTAGTTTGCAACATTCTTCAAAAGAGCCTAGCTCGAAATAGAACAGTACCCTTCGCCGCGTCGGGCCGCTCGAGCGGAACGCTTTTGATGCAGTTGGCCCTTGTGTCGCCCTCCTTGCAGAACATCTCGGTGGGGTCGCAGTCGATCATCAGGCGCCCCGTGTCGTCGTCGAGGGTCAGGGTAGCATCCTTGCCGCACTTCTTGCAAGGCGGGCACTGTATTTGGAATACATCAAAAGGGTTGAGAATAGACTACCTGGCCCAGGTTGTCGAGCTTCGTGAGCAAGGTGAACTGCGAGTCGCCAGCATGCTTTGCCGTGTAGCAGACGAATGGCACGCTGGCACACTGAAAACAACGTTTTTGAGGGTGTCTTCAGCCGCTACAAACCGCTGGCAAAACGTTGGCGCCCGGCTTCGCGGG